GATTGTGACACACACCAACGGTCCTTATCAAAGTTATAACGTACCAAGAATAAACAAAGTCCGGCAAAGGTTGGCAACCAGCCCAGAAAACAAGATACGATAAGACACTCACTCTTCAAAAATGCTCTGTAATAATTACACGTTGTTTCCTGCAAGAAATTACTAACTGCGTGCGACTTAAATAGGCTAAGGGAGTGGCCAATTATCCTCAAACCTTACTCTCGAGTAGATCTCCTCCTCCTGAGTAGCCACTCCTGCCTTTTGGTAGCCCTGCGTGCTCGAGCATTGAGGAGAGGCTCCTCCACTTCGCTCTCTCTACTTGACGGAGTCTCTGGAGGTTCTGCAGGCCCAGGCTGAGTCTCTGCCTCTGGCACCACATCCTCTTCAGCCTCCTCGTTGTCCGACGCGAGCGCCGGCTGCTGGCACAACCCCACACCAGCCTCCTTGTCGTCAGGATCAGCCACGATCCGCCCAGGCTGCTGGCGGGCCACAACACAGGGAGCCGCAGCAGAGGAATGAAAGAGCCACATGCGGCTCCAGAGCTGCGGGTTGCTGACTCTGTGTTAGTCCTACGGTTGTTAAGTGGCTTCCCTATTGACTTGGGGTCACAAAAAGGGATCACATGACCCCGGGACGCATCATAAATACGAGTCAGTTGCCAAGCATTTCAATTTTGGTCAAGTGACAGTCATAACTGTGAAAAACAGTCATCAGTCCCCATTTTTCAGTGCCGTTGTAACTTTGAATCAGGGGTGGGTTCTAAATTTTTTTTACTACCGGTTCTGTGGGCGTGGCTTATTTTGTGGGTGTGGCTTGGAGGTCATGTGACTAGGTGGGCATGGCTAGCTGGTCAGAGTCATTTCTGGAAGGTCCTCGCACTCACGACCAGTCCTCGCACTTACGACCCGACTCATTTGTTTGCTTTTAACACTGATCAGCTGTAGGGCGGCCCTTTGAAGCCCCAAGGCAAGAGTTTAAACAGGTTTTTTCCCTCTAGTCATCAGCTGGGACTCAGGAGGCAGCAATAGATTGGGGGTGTGACCAAATAAAAGGTAAGAATAACGGTGGGGGATGGGAGGGCGGGGGGGAGAACCGATTCGGTGACGTCATATTGTCACCGCTACCGGCTCGTCCGAACTGGACCGAACCGGGAGGAACCCACCACTGCTTTAAATGGTCACTAAATGAACTGTTACCAGTCCAGGACTACCTATTGTGAAAATCTGGTTTTTCTTTTCTTTTCTTTTCTTTTCTTTTCTTTTCTTTTCTTTTCTTTTCTTTTCTTTTCTTTTCTTTTCTTTTTTTTGATATCAAGGGCAATGAAGCTGATTGTTCCCTGCCTTGCTTTGCTAGCCAAGCAAATAAATCTTCAATTCTCCATCTGAGATTGGAGAAGCCGAAATGTAAAGAATCCATTCAAAGAGTTGACAAGGAAAGCTTTGTTCAATTGGGAGAGAACGGAGGAGGCAAACGAATTAAACGTCCAAAACGAAATGTCAATCAAAACAAAAAGGGATCACATGATCCCGGGACGCATCATAAATACGAGTCAGTTGCCAAGCATTTCAATTTTGGTCAAGTGACTGTCATAACTGTGAAAAACAGTCATCAGTCCCCATTTTTCAGTGCCGTTGTAACTTTGAATCAGGGGTGGGTTCTAAATTTTTTTACTACCGGTTCTGTGGGCGTGGCTTATTTTGTGGGGGTGGCTTGGAGGTCATGTGACTAGGTGGGCGTAGCTAGCTGGTCAGAGTCATTTCTGGAAGGTCCTCGCACTTATGACCCGACTCATTTGTTGGCTTTTAACACTGATCAGCTGTAGGGCGGCCCTTTGAAGCCCGGCGGCAAGAGTTTAAACAGTTTTTTTCCCTCTAGTCATCAGCTGGGACTCAGGAGGCAGCAATAGATTGGGGGTGGGACCAAATAAAAGGTAAGAATAACGTGGGGGAGGAGGGCGGGGGGGAGAACCGGTTCGGTGATGTCATCATCACCGCTACCAGCTGGGCCGAACCGGACCGAACCAGGAGGAACCCACCACTGGAGTGGAAGCCCTAACTCCTTAAAGCATGCTGGCTGGGGAATTCTGGGAGTGGAAGTCCATGCATTTTTTAGCCGGCAAAATTGAGAAACCTTGGTTTAGACAGAGGCTGGATTATTAAGGATACAGTGATTCATGCATTGGGCCAAGAATTAATTAGTCCGATCTATGTAATAAATATTGTTTTGACCAGATGATCTCTGAAGTTCCTTCTCTTTTTATATCGGTGACCTTTTTTTTCTTTGAATTTGGTGCTTAACTCAATAAAATAAGAGCCTTGTAGTACAGTGGTCTAAAGCACCCTGTTATTAAGTCCAGCTGCCTGCAATTACTGCAGGTTCGAATCTCGCCAGGCTCAAGGTTGACTCAGCCTTCCATCCTTTCTAAGGTAGGTAAATTGAGGACCCAGTTTGTGGGGGCAATAAGCTGACTTTGTATAAATATACAAAAGGATGAAGGCTATTGCTTAACGCATTGTAAGCCGCCCTGAGTCTCCGGAGAAGCGCGGCATATAAATCAAATTATATATATGTGTGTGTGTGTGTGTGTGTGTGTGTATAGTTAATATTTCGGGTTTCTTCCCGTGTAATTGTGGATATATCCCTAAAAGGGTAGAAGCGACGTTTCGACAGAATCTCATCTGCCATCATCAGGCTTATGTGAGGAGTCTTTTGCAGTAAACTGTTAAAGTAAGTTACTGCAAAAGACTCCTCACATAAGCCTGATGATGGCAGATGAGATTCTGTCGAAACGTCGCTTCTACCCTTTTAGGGATATATCCACAATTACACGGGAAGAAACCCGAAATATTAACTATACACACATATATACCCGTGAAAACTTACATAGACATATATATATATATTAAAAAGTGAAGTGTATTGTACGTAGTTGATATAACTTCATAGAACTGTTTCAGCCTCAGTATTTGCCTTATTACAATTTTCATTAGACCATTTCCCCCCCCCTTTGTTTAGCCTATTACGTAATTCTGAAACATATTTGGGTCAGATATCCTGATATATTTTAGCGTTATATTGTTTAAAGCTTCTGAAATTTAGAACTTGTGAAATGTGCTACACACAGGCTGTTCAGTTACCTATTCCAAAATCGTTTTGTAAATACCAAGGATTCAGATCATTTAAGCCAGGAGGATGTATTAAATCCAAGCCAAAGGACAAGAGCTCCAGCAAATTAAACCCTCCCAATCAGATTATTTGAGTGTGAATTCTAAAACTGCAGATTAGATATGCAATTAGGCAAGAGGGCATGTTATGAAAGACGGCTTTCAACGCAAACAGGTTGTGCTACTTCATTCTGGACTCATTGAGAGGTGATTGTGTTATTTTTATTTTCCCCATTACTTTCTTCCTTGTCCTGCTGATTAACGAGGCCTGTGAAAGAAATGAGGATTAGCAACTTTTTCCCTGGCTTTGATCAGATATGTAGGGCGGTCGTGATTTCAATGCAAAATTTCTAGGAGCATTGGATGCTTTTTACTCCCTCAATGTTTCTTTGCTCCTTTACCTTTCAACTGAAATCTCTGTTGCTTTTAAAGGTGGGTGCTATCTTTTTAAAACAGGCTTCTGAAGTGAGAATGTTTGTTTCGTCAGTTCAGTTAGTGTTCAAGTTAGGAAACAAGGGTGTGACTTCCTTCTGAAAATCCTTGTCAGCTGGCTAGGCTGATGTCTGTTGGACTTCCCTTTGATGCTTTGATGCTGAGTTTGTCCGTCTATCTATCATCTATCTATCATTTATCTATCTATCATCATCTCTATCATGTCTGTCTAACCCTAACTATCATATCTCTCTCTCTCTCTATCTATCTATCATCTATCTATCTATCTATATCAATTTGATATTGATTTTAATTGAAATGTTTTAAATTATGGGCCAAATTTTATTTAATTATTTTAAATCTATTTTAACTTTTGTGTATGAATGTTTTATATTTGGCTGTTCACCGCCCTGAGTCTGGAAGGAGAGGGGCGGTATAGAAATCGGAAAAATAAATAAATAAATAAATAAATATCATCTATCTATCATCATCTCTATCATGTCTGTCTAACCCTAACTCTATTATATCTCTCTATATCTATCTATCTATCTATCTATCTATCTACCTATCTATCTATCTATCTATCTATCATCTCTATCATGTCTAACCCTAACTCTATCATATTTCTCTCTCTCTCTCTCTCTCTCTCTCATATCATCTCTATCATATCTGTCTAACCCTAAATCTATCATATATCCCTCCCTCCCTCTCTCTCTCTCTCTCTCTCTCTCTCTCTCTCTCTCTCTCTCTCTCTCTCTCTTGTTTTCCCCAAAATAAGACATCCCCTGATATACATGCCCAATTGGGGTTTTGAGCGCATGGCAATAAGGCCAAGCGCTTATTTCAGGGTTCAAAAAATATAAAACAGGGTCTTATTTTAGGGGAAACACAGTATCTGTCTATCTATCTATCTCTGTCTATCCATCCATCCATCCTTCCATCTATCTATATGTATCTATCAATCATCTCTGTCTCAATTTATCTATCTAATATTTATCTATAATCTTTCTCTCTGTATAGCTCTCTCTCTCTCCCATATTTAAGCAGAAGTATAACTAACAGTCCTCCCTCCTCCTATTTTCCCAACAACAACCCTGTGAGGTGGGTTGGGCTGAGAGTGAGTGAGTGAGAGAGAGAGAGATCCAAAGCCACCTAAAGCAGAACTAGAACTCACCTCCTGGTGATTGGTCCAAAGTCACCCAGCTGGCTCTCATGCCTAAAACAGGACTACAGCTCATTGTCTCTTAGCAATTGACCCCAAAGTCACCCAGCTGGCATCTGTGTCTAAGGTGGGGCTAGAACTCACCACCTCCTGGTTTCTAGACCGGAACCTTAACCACTGGGCCAGACCTGGCTGGTGGGAGAGACGGCCCTTGGCTGATGTAGTTTTTCTGTCTCTTTCAGAGTCTGAGACAAAGCAGAAGAGGAAGATAGCCGAGATCTACCAAGTGCTAAACAATGAGCCGGTGGACATTGCTCCCCTCCGGCGCATGGCTATCAGCGAAGGAGGCCTTCTCATGGACGAGATTCGCTGCAAAGTGTGGCCCAGGCTGCTCAACGTGAACATAGACGACCTGCTGCCTCCGCCAGGTGAAGCCCTCCGGTTCTGACCACCTGCCCAGCCTCGGAGCATAGGGGTGGGGTGCGAGCCCTCTGCACCCAGAACATCCCAGCCCTTAATTTTGATGCTCTCTGAGCTTTTATTTACCTGACTAGGGAACATGGTAGAAGGGAGTGGGGGTTGTGGAGAGGAGGAGGAGGAGGACTGTGGGGTCCTCAAATCTTGGTTGTTTTCTTGAAGACGTTTCATGACCTAGCTAAGTAATATCATCAGTGTTGGAGGGAGGTTTGCAGAGAGAAGAAGGAGCAGGAGAAATGGTGGAGTCTTTGGTGCTCTCTGAGCTTGGCTGTTTTTTGCAGACATTTTGTTACCTGACTAGGGAACATCAACTAGGAGCCTGAATGGCGTAGGAGGCTAATGCCTCCTACTAAGGCAGCATTTAACATCCAGCTGCCTGCAATTACTGCGAGTTCAATTCTCACCAGACTCAAGGTCGACTCAGCCTTCCATCCTTTCTAAGGTGGGTAAAATGAGGACCCGGTTTGTCGGGGCAATAAGCTGACTTTGTATAAAATATACAAAAATATGAAGGCTATTGCTTAACGCATTGTAAGCCGCCCTGAGTCTCCGGAGAAGGACGGCATATAAAAATAAATTTAAAAAAAAAATCATCAGTGCTAGAAGGGAGTGGGGGTTGCAGGGAGAAGAAGGAGGACTGTGGGGTCTTTGGTGCTCTCTAATCTTGGTTGTTTTCTTGAAGACGTTTCATGACCCAGCTAGACAACATCATCAGTGTTGGAGGGAGGTTTGCAGAGAGAAGGAGGAGCAGGAGAATGGTGGAGCCTTTGTTGCTCTCTGATCTTGGCTGTTTTCTTGCAGGCGTTTTGTTACCTGACTAGGGAACTTCATCAGTGCTAGAAGGGAGTGGGGGTTGCGGAGAGAAGGAGGAGGACTGGGGGGGTCCTTGGTGGTCTCTAATCTTTCATGACCCAGCTAGGCAACATCATCAGTGTTGGAGTGAGGTTTGCAGAGAGAAGGAGGAGCAGGAGAATAATCCTGCTCCTAGTTACCCAGCTAGGTAACATCATCAGTGCTAGAAGGGAGTGGGGGTTTGTGGAGAGCAGGAAGAGGGCAAGGACGGTGGGAATCCTTGCTGCTCTCTGAGCTTGGCTGTTTTCTTGCAGACTTTTCATGACCAATTGGGTAATATCATCAGTACTAGATGGGAGTGGGATTTGGGAGGAGGAGGGGGCCTGGTGGAGTCCTTGGTGCTCTATGAGCTTGGCTGTTTCTTGCAGACATTTCATTACCCAACTAGATAATATCAATACTGATAGAAGGGAATGGGGCTTGGAGCAGGGGTGGGCTTCAAAAATTTTAGCGAGGGAGTCTCTGCCCAGTTGCTGGGTGGGCGTGGCCTAGTTGGCCTCCTGCACCACAGCGGGGGGTGGCATTTTTGCCCTCCCTGGGCTCTGGAGGCTTTCCTCGAGCCTCCAGGAGGACGAAAACAGCCTCCCCAGGCTCCGGAGGCCCTCTGGAGGCCGGAAACAGTCCCATTTCTGGCCTTCGCGAACTTCCGGTAGGCCAGTTTTTTGCCCTCCGCGAGCCTCCGCACGAGCCCTGCACTTACCTGCATCCAAAACGGGCCGTGTAAGGACTCCTGGGAGGGGAGGGGCCAGCCAGGAGTGAGATTTGGGGGTTCTCCAAACTGCACAGAATCTTAGCTAGAGGTTCTCCCAAATCCCTGCGATACCCCCAGCAGCCCCACCCCTGGCTTGGGGGAGGAAGAGGAGGAGGAGGATAAGGACTATAGGGTCCTTGGTGCTCTCTGAACTTGGTGTTCTGTCCCCGTACCACACACGCACCCCCACAGACGGCCCGGAGTTAATAAGCCACACGACAAAACTCTTTGAAGATAAAGCTGGCAGCAACCCAGTGGCTGGCTGCCAATTCAGACTTTACTCACACAAAACAAAGATTAGACTGCCAGCATTCCAATAAAACAGGCAGAGTGTCAACAATACAAGGATTAATCCAAATGCAGTCCGATAAAGCAGGCAAAGTCCAGTAACGCAGAGATCATGGAGTATTTCCAGTTTTTGCTCGTCACAAACTGAACCGGCCACCACACCCACATTTATACCCTGTGGGGTGTGGTCCAGTGACTCAGCTAATCTCTGGCACGCCTTCCTCTCTGCTGCGCACGCTTCTCCCTGAGCCTCTGTCGCGGGTCCAGCCAGCACTTATCTCCTTCATCGCTGTCCACCTGTGGCTGTGGGGACGTGCTTGGCTCTGAGCCTATCGTTTGGCCTTCAGTGTCCTCCGGAGGCATTGCCAGAGAGGAGGGTCCTGGAGAGGGAGGCCTTGCCAACTCTTCTCCCTCACTCTCAGAGTCTGCATCTGTCGATAGCCCAGGCTCAGGCAACGGAGCCACAACACTTGGTTGTTTTCTTGTAGACGTTTCATTACCCAACTAGATTACATCATCAACGCTACAAGGGAGTGGGGTGAGAGACTCACGGAACTGCCAACTCAGACAAACAAAGCTAACCGTAAACAACAACTTATTCAAGGAACCACCAAGAACGCTCCCAACAGCCACTAATTTATAAGGAAACAGTAAAAAAAAAAAAAACCACCTCCTCACCCTGAAGGTATTATCTAGTTTGGTCATGAAACGTCTGCAAGAAAACAACCAGGCGCCAAGGACCCCACAATTCAACCCTGAGCTACAATGATTCTGAAGGATATGAATAAGAAGTTACTCTTTTATGAAAGTATTAAAAAGCTATGATGTTCTTCCCGTCGCAAACTGACCACAAATTGTAATCAGTAGAGCTAATGTGATACGACTTGATAAAAGCTCCCTTGGAGACAGGAACCTACTACGCCTTGGGCAAGACCACTTATCAGTAAGAAAGGAATATCCGCCCAAGGTGAAAATTAAAAGTAAACATGATAAGATAGTTGTTGTTAGGCAGGAAATTTTCGCCTTCGTTGAAAAAAAAATACACCAGGACTAAACCATTGATCATGGTCACTTGGACTCTGCAGCCATTGCCATCTGCACAGCCTAAAAGCAGAGATTGTAGAGGGAGAAACGACTTATAAGGTAGTCCTCGACTTATAACGCTTCACTTAGTGACGGTTCAAAGTTACAACGGCACTAAAAAAAATTGACCTATGGCCATTTTTTCACATGTAACGACCATTGCAGCATCCCCATGGTGATGTGATTTTACATTCGGATGCTTGGCAACTGCATTTACGATGGTAGCAGAGTCCCGGGGTCACCTGATCCCCTTCAGACGAGCAAAGTCAATGGGGGAGCACAATTCATTTTTACAGCTGGATTCCTAATTTAACAACCGCAGTGATTCACTTAACAACTGTGACAAGAAAGGTCGTAGAACGGGGCAAAATTGACTTAATAAATCTCACTTAGCAACATAAATAAATTCTGGACTCGATCGTGGTCCTAAGTCGAGGTAATCCTGAACATACGGCCGCAGTTGAGCCCAACATTTACGTTACTAAGTGAGAGATTTGTTAAGTGAGTTCTGCTCCGTTTTATGACCATTCTGGCCACTGTTGTTAAGTGAATCATTGCCATTGTTTAGTTAGTAACCCTGTTGTTAAATTAATCCTGCTTCCCCATTGACTTTGCTGGTCACAAAAGAGGATCACGTGAGCCCAGGATCCTGCAACCGTCATAAGTATGAGCCAGTTGCAAGTGTCTTAATTTCAGTCTCATGACTCTGGGGATGTTGCAATGGTCGCAAGTGTGAAAAACGGTCATAAGTCACTTTTTAAAGTGACGTTTTAACTTTGATCACTAAATGAACTGTTGTAAGTCGAGGACTTTTTATAATGTTGGTTAGTTGGAAACCGAGATTCCCTGTCTGCCTGAAACTCCTTAACCATCTTTTTAAGGGATGTCAGAACCCAAAGCAGGCCTGGCTTGAAATCGTCACGGTTTAAAAGCCTATTTTCTTAGTTTCCTGATTTTCTTTGTAATTACAATTAACTATAATATTCTTCGCTGTTCCGTTTAGAGGAAGAACTTCGGGAAATAAGCAAGGATTATCAGCAAGTCCTGTTGGACGTAAGGCGATCCCTCCGACGTTTCCCGCCAGGTATGGTGATCGGTCGATCCTTTTTCTGACCATGAAAACTCCGGACTGTCCTGCAAAATGATCTGGGTTGAAACAGACTCATTTGCTGCAGCTTCCCCGAGGGAAGCGGAAGGATTACAGGTAGTCCTCGATTTACAACAATTCATTTAGTGACTGTCTGAAGTGACAACGGTGCCGAAAAATGGGACTTCTGGCCGTTTTTCACATTACAACCATTGTACCATCCCCTAGGCAGTGTTCCATGAATCACTGCAGTGTCTCACATTTTAACGTTTTATTAGTTTATCAAACCATAAAATACAAAGAGAAATTCAAAAAAGCAATAGAAAACTAGGAGGATAGAAAAGAAGAAAAAAAATGGTGTAAAGAGGGAAAAAGAAAAATAAGCAAAGTCAACGGGAGAAGCCAGATTCACTTACTAACCATGTTTTTTTTTTTTTTTTTTTTTAATTTGATTTATATGCCGCCCTTCTCCGAAGACTCAGGGCGGCTTACAATGTGCTCAGCAATAGCCTTCATCCTTTTGTATATTTATACAAAGTCAGCTTATTGCCCCCACAAACTGGGTCCTCATTTCACCTACCTTAGAAAGGATGGAAGGCTGAGTCAACCTTGAGCCTTGGCGAGATTCGAACCCTGCAGTAATTGCAGGCAGCTGGTCTTAATAAGCTTAATAACAGGGTGCCTTAAACCCCTGTAGTACCAAGGCTCTTTTTCGTTGTTGCTAAACTAACAACGGCAATGATTCACTTCACATCAGTGGCCAGTATGGTTGTAAAATGGGGCAGAACTCACTTCACAAATGTTTCATTTAGCAGCAGAAATTTGAGGCTTGATTGTGGTCGTAAATCGAGGATTACCTATACGTTTCTGCAACAGTCTGCTGTTTCGTATGTGGTTGTGTTAATTCTTGGCTCCGTCCCATGGTCCTTTGCTACAAAACAAGGAGAGTTGGATGTTCTCATAGTTACGACCGGTTGCTTAAGCCACCACTTGAATACAGGGCATCCTCAACTTACAGCCATTCGTTTAAGTGACCGTTTGAAGTTACAAAGGCACTGAGAAAAAGTGATTCAGGACCGTTTTTCACACTTACGACCATTGCAGCACCCCCGGGTCACACGTTCAAAATTCAGACCCTTAGCAACGGGTGTGTATCAAATAACTCGGCTCATGCGATCACATTTTGCGACCTTCTGGCAAGCAAAGTGTCAGGCCTTTGCCACATTCACTACTGTGGGAAATTGGGAGGGGGGATTGTATAGAGCCGTGATGGCGAACCTATAGCACGCGTGCCACAGGTGGCACACAGAGCCATATCAGTGGGCACGCGAGCTCAGCTCCAGTGTGCATGTGTGCGCCAGCCAGCTCATTTTCGGGCCTTCTGGGCCCACCGGAAGTAGGGAAACAGACTGTTTCCTGCCTTCGGAGGGCTTTGGGTGTGTGTGAGGAAGGCCTGTTTTTTGCTCTCCTTTCTAGGAGCCTGAGAAGGGCGAAAACAGCCTTCCCCACCCAGATGGCAAATAGGCCGTTCCTGGCCTCCGGAGGGCCTCCTGCGGGGTGGGGAAGGCTGTTTTTGCCCTCCCCAAGCTCCTAGAAAGGCTCTGGAGCCTGGGGAGGGTGAAAAATGGGCCTACTGGGCCCACCATGCCATCGTGTGCCAAAAGCAGGGGGGGCGGGGGGGGGGTGTCACACATATGTGGGGGCGGGGCGCATAGAATTATGGGTGTGGGCACGCACGTGCTTGACCCCTTCCCCCCCTCCCCCATGCTTCCTCCACTTTTGGCACGTGATGCCAAAAAAGTTAGCCATCACTGGTATAGAGCAAGGGTGATATGTAGTCAAAATAACATTCCTTTCTCAGAGAGTCAAGGACATCTTGCCCTGCACCTGGAGTGGTGTGACTGGGAGGCATCTTCAGTTGGGACGATGCTTTGATTGGACCATGTGATGGACATGTGGATGCTGGACAGGGACTTGGACTTTCTTTTCAGTGGGGAAAACCTGGAAGCTTTCATATTTGGGTTTTCCCAGATGTGCCAATACGACATCTTTAATAAAATGGAACTTTGAGGAACGAAGCCGCGGAGTCTTCTTTCGTTGGGGGTGTTACCTGGAACCTTGACACAAAGTCAGTGGGGAAGCCAGATTTACCGAACAACCGTGTTCCTAACTTAATGTGATTCACTTAACAGCTGCGGCAAGAAAGGCCGTAAAATGGGGCAAAACTCATTTAACTGTCTTGGTTAGCAACAAGCATTTTGGGCTCTATTGTGGTTGTAAGTGAAGGACTACCGTATATACGACACATTGCCAAAAAGCTACATGTGACCTGGTTCCGTAGTTACAACCTTCCTCTCTGCCCCCAAATTCCCCCGCCCCGCCCTGCCCCGCAGCTGCATGGCGGCATTTTGGGTGCCAGACTTTTGCAGCTATTTGCATTGCCCTGCGGAGAAGCAATTGCAGAAGTTTTGGGCAAAAACCAGCATTCATTTCTGGTTTCTTGACAAACGCGCCCCTTTGATAACCGTGGGTTCACTTAATGACGGCTACATTTGCTTAACAACTGCCGCAAAAAATTGGGTCCAGTCATGGGGTGACCTGCTTCCCAACTGTCACAACTTATTCCATCAATTTTCTTATGTATTCAGAAGGTTAAAATACAAAAGAAAAAAAAAATGAGTCGTGACTTAGGACTGTAATTGCCAGACTGAATTAATAGAGAAGAGAGAATAGAAACAGAAACAAGAACAGAACAGAATAAAGAATAGAATTAAATAGAAAACAGTGGAATGGCATGGCATGGCATAGCATAGCATAGAATGAATGTAGAATAGAATAAAATAGAGAATGGAATGAAAATAGAATAGAAAATATGGAATGGAATAGGTTGACTCAGCCTTCCATCCTTTCTAAGGTAGGTAAATTGAGGACCCAGATTGTGGGGGCAATAAGCTGACTTTGTATAAATATACAAAAGTATGAAGGCTATTGCTTAACGCATTGTAAGCTGCCCTGAGTCTCTGGAGAAGGGCGGCATATAAGTCAAATTAAAAAAAAAAAAAAGGTTGACTCAGCCTTCCATCCTTTCTAAGGTAGGTGAAATGAGGACCCAGTTTGTGGGGGCAATAAGCTGACTTTGTATAAATATACAAAAGTATGAAGGCTATTGCTTAACGCATTGTAAGCCGCCCTGAGTCTCCGGAGAAAGGCGGCATATAAATCAAATTTTAAAAAAAAAATGAAATGGGAATGGAATGGAATGGAATTCTTTATTGGCCAAGTGTGATTGGACACACAAGGACTTTCTCTCTGGTGCAGAAGCTCAATGTACATATAAACAGCAAGTAATAGGTCATAGATCATAAGACATAAACAACAAGTGATAAATCATAAGAAACCAATAGGAGAAGATAGCAGGAGAAATGAGAAGATGAGAAACGAAGGGCTGTGGGAATTAAATGTTCAGCAGAGGGATGGCATGAGGAGGGGGGCATCTTTGTGTCTAGTTGTTTTGGCAATTACGGTCTATCTCGAGAACTCCCCGTGCAGGATCCTTCCCCTTCCCCAGCTCAACCCAATGCTTGCGATCTTGTGGCTATAGCAACACCCCAAGTGGCCCAGAACAAGTCAATCTTTAGAGAGCCTTTTCCCGGAGGATCTGCCTGGTACTTCCTCTCGGCCAACAGGGTGTTGGTTTGAGCTCCACATTGTAACATGCTGCCACCGGTCTTAAATTAATACTTCTTACCATGCCATACAATTACTGACTCCCACAGCTCAGGTCAGTACGGGTAGTCCTCAACTTAAGACCACCATTGAGCCCAACAGTTCTGTTGCTAAGTGAGATGCTTGTTAAGTGGGTTTTGCCTCCATTTTTCAGCCTTTCTTATTTCTTATTTATTTTATTTTATCATATTTGTATACCGCCCTACTCCCGGAGGACTCAGGGCGGTGAACAGCCAAGATAAAAATACAAAGAACATACAAAAGTTAAAAACTATTAAAAATAGATTAAATAATTTAGGCTCAAAAAACAAATTTAAGACATCCAATTTATCTAAAAACATTTAAAACCCAATTTAAAAGGGAGAGTTAGGCCAGATCAGCCTGTTGGAATAAAAACGTTTTTAGGGCGCGGCGGAAGATGCGTAAGTCTTGGATCCACAGTTGTGAAGCAAAGCACAGAAGTTCTTAAGTTAGGCACACGGTTCTTAAGTGAATCTGGCTCCCACCCACCCCGTTGGCTTTGCTTCTCAGGAGGTCACAAAATGGGGATCGCATGACCCCGGGACACTGCAGCTGTCATGAATGTGAAGCAGTTGCCAAGCGTCTGAATTTTTGATCGTGTGACCTTGGGGGAATCCGGCAAAGGTCGTAACTCTTGACGGTCGTAAGTCACATCTTTCACTAAATGCACTGTTGTAAGTTGAGAACTACCTGTAGTGCTTCAAATTGGACTGAGATTTTTAGAAAGCCCCTGCGATAGGATAAGAACCAGTGGTGGGTTGCTCCCGGTTCGCACCGGTTTGCAAGAACCGGTAGTAAAAATTTGTAGTAGTTCCGAGAACCGGTAATAACATTTGCTGGTCACCTGCCCTAAAGAAGGCAAATATTGGTCCAAGGTCCGGAACTGGATAGTGGAAATTACAAGTTATAATATAGAGCTGAAACCAGAAGATTTTTTTTATTGGGAACGAAACCAGATAAAATAAGGAAAAATGGTATTTGATCCTCCTCATTACTACTGCAGTTAGGATATTATACGTGCCAGAGTGGAAAAATGAAATAATACCCACAGAGAATAAACTGATTTGGAAAATTTCAGAATGCGCAGAGGCCGATCGGTTAATGAAATTACTTAGGAAGCAAGAAACAGACTCCTAGTCACGAAAAACCCTTCTTTATATACTTCTTGTGAATTAATGGCATTCACCCACCAAAAAGTCCAGGCAACAGACCTTCAAGGAGTTAACTGCAGTACAGACCTTATCAGTTCCTTGCGATAATTGCAAGCTGAAAGGCTGAAAATTAAGTTCTGGCAAGCAGTCCCTGTGGCACGAAACACGATGAGCAAAATCTTCAGAAATACGAACGGTTGTCTCCTACAACCACCGCGCCCCTTTCCTTCGATTTATTCCCCAGCCAGGGAGGGGCCATTCAGCATCCACGTGCGCTTTGCTTCCCGAGTCGACTCCTTGTCCTCCGTTGCTCACCTCTCCTAACATCTCTGCGCATACGTTCATCTGGAACAGGCCCCAGCTGTTCTTCCTCCTCACTCATCTCAGCCTCCAAAGGCAGCTGCCTCTCCGGTGGCTGGGAAATGTCGGACGGCCCTGGCTCTATCTCTGTGTCCGACGCAGAGCATCCATCAGAGCCTTCCCCAGGCTCCAGAGCTGGCCCAAGTTCCGTCCCAACCTCCTCATCGTCCAAGTCTGCCGCCAGCTCCGCTGGCAGCTGGCGGGCCACTACACCTTTCTTGCCACCGTTGTTAAGCGAAGCACAGAAGTTCTTAAGTTAGTAACACGGTTCTTAAGCGAACCCGGCTTCCCTGTTGACGTTGCTTATATAAGGTTGCAAAAGGGGGTCGCGTGAGCGTCATAAATGCGAGCCGCTTGTCAAGCATCTAAATATAAATTACGTGACCACGGGGATGCTGGAACGGTCATGTTAGGAAATGATAATTACCTAACTTGTTGGGTTGGCAATATATAAACCATAAATACAGCTTTAAGACTGCTGTATTGCTGTATTGCATCATACTGTGTCCTGATTGGTTAGCTCTAGCCAATGTCCTTAAAAGGGAGCTAGAAACATGGTTTGTTTCTCTTTGCCGCTCTTTGCTGATATCTTTGCTGTTTTTGCTCTCTGATATCTCTGTATGCTACTGTTTGCAAATCCAGAAGAACTATTTATTGTGAATGACTATGACGACTGGTAAGAAGACTTTGTATATTGGATTATCCCTGGACTATTGTTTTACTATCTCCTGCTTTATATGTGAATGACCTGGACTTTTTATTGGACTGTGCCTTATTGCTATTTCCTGAAAGTAAACACAACTCAGTGTATCTGTGTGTTGGCTGTGTTATTTCCTAACTACTTTCAATTGCTTTTCATGTGCACACTCTTGCTACTCAAGGGTTGCTCTGCGAATTCCTCAACAGGTCGTAAGTGTGAAAGACGGTCCTAAGCCCCTTTTTTCAGCACCGTTATAACTTGGAACGAGTCACTAAACGAATAGTTGTAAGTCGAGAATTACCTATCGATTGTCCATCCTAGCTCAGCGGTTCTTTGCGAGAATAGGATTCAGGTAAGCATCGTTTTCTTCGGCCGTTGCTTCATTCACTCTTCCTCTCTCCCCTTCTTTCTAGACATGCCCGATGAGCAGAGAGAGGGTCTCCAAGAAGAGCTGATAGACTGCATCCTGCAGGTTCTGCAACGCAACACACAACTCCATTATTACCAGGGATACCATGACATTGTGGTCACCTTCCTTCTCGTGGTGGGGGAGAGGTTGGCCGCCACCCTGGTGGAAAAACTCTCAACGCATCACCTCAGGTATTGTAATCTCCCAGCGTTTCTCAACCTTGTCCGCTCGACAGTGGGTGGACTTCAACTCCCAGAATTCCTGGCTGGCTGGGGAATTCTGGGAGTTGAAGTCCACCCATCTTCAAGCGGACAAGGTTGAGAAATACTGCTGTAATTTATTGAAATATCTGTAGTTCAGTTTATCGGTCTAGAGCAGGGGTCGGCAACCCGTGGCTCTGGAGCCGGATGTGGCTCTTTCATCCCTTTGCTGCAGCTCCCCGTTGCTGGTTGGCGCCACAATTTTGAGAGGAGCTTCTGCTTTGGGAGGAAGCACGGCGCTCCAGGAAGAGACTCTATGGCAAGAGGCGGTCTTTCCAGTCGGGCCCCAGAATTGATAGGGCTTTCGGTTAGGACAGGTAGAGGAAAAAGGATGCCGCGCTAGGAGGAGACTCTATGGTGGGAAAACTGGACTTCCAGTCAGCAAAGGAAAAAGGACGCCATGCTAGGAGGAGTCTCTATGGTGGGGGAACCGGACTTCCGGTCGGCTCCAGAATCGAATGGGGGGGCTTCCGGTTAGGACCTTTGTGGCTCTTCGAGTGTTTAAGGTTGCCGACCCCTGGCCTAGAGGTAGCTCTTGCATTGATGTCAACGTGAATACATGTAGTCCTCGACTTACAACAATTTATTTAGTGACCGTTTGAAGTTACAACGCCACTGGAAAAAGTGACTTACGACCATTTTTCCACAGCTCCAACTTTTGCAAACATCCCCACGATCAGGTGATCAAAATCTAGACGTTTGGCAACTGGTTTCACATTTATGATGGTCGCAGTATCCCAGGGTCACGCGATCCCCTTTTACGACCCTCTGACAATTAAAGTCAATGGGGAAGCCAGATTCACTTAACAACCGGGTGACTCACTTATCAACCGCAGTTGTGATTCACTCCGCAGTTGTGGCCAGAAAGGTCGTAAAACGGGGCAAAACTCCCTTAGCAAACGTCTCATTTAGCAACGTAAATTTTTGGGCTCCATTTCAGTGGTGGGTTGCTACCGGTTCATCCCGGATTGGGCGAATCGGTGGGCAGCTCCGCCCACCCGCCCGGATGCTTCCGTGCATGTGCAGAAGTGTTGCGCGCGTAAGCGCCCATAAGCGAACCGGTAGCAACGGCTTTTGAAACCTGCCCCTGCTCCATTTGTGGTCGTAAGGCGAGGACTCCTTGTGCTGTACTTAAAATCAGGGTGGATTTGATTTAAATCGAGTTGATTTAAATCACAATTTAAATCACGATTTAAATCACTAGTAAAAAGGCTTGATTTAAATCAACTCGATTTAAATCATAATTTTTAAAGAGCAACTGTCATCTCTGCTACTCCTTTGACCCACTGTTGACTCACCGATAGTCCCAGTGTTGCAGAATATACGGCCTCCTGCTACATAACTCAGCTCCATTTCATGATGAATAAACTAAATCATTTATGCATCTTAAATAGAAAACTATCTTACGATAGATTTTTACCCCAAAAGTTTTTTATTAAAATAAATTCGATAAAAATCAAAAAAATCCGATTTAAATAAAAAAAATCTGATTTTTTTGATTTTTTAAAAAAAAATCATTGATTTTTATCCACCCTGCTTAAAATCCAGAAGAGTAATATTTTCTTCATTGCAACACAACATTCCCTATTGGTGCACTTCACATATAACACATCCAAACACTTTACATGGCACATTTTGGGTGTCTTATTTCCCACGCCTTGCCCGCATCTTTAACCCTAAATTCCTGCCCCCCAAATGAAATGAACAAACTTCTGATGTTTAAACCAAACACAGGACAACACACCAGTGGTGAAACGTAAAATTTGTTACTACCGGTTCTGTGGCCGTAGCTTGGTGGTGGTGGGGGGGGGGGTAATGTGATGGGGGGGAGATGGCCAACTTTTTTTTTTTTACTTTTAAAAGCATTTTTTCTACAACCTCTTCGGCCAAAGAGGTTGTTAAAAAATGCTTTTAAAAGCCTCTGACGATCCCAGCTGAGTTGCCTGATCATCAGAGGCTTTTTTTTTTTCTTTTAAAAGCAAAAAAAAAAAATGCTTTTAAAAGAAAAGAAAAGCCTCTGAAGATCGCAAGGCTCAGCTGGGATCGTCAGAGGCTTTTAAAAGCATTTTTTTGTACAACCTCTTCGGCCGAAAAAAATGCTTTTAAAAGCCTCTGACGATCCCAGCTGAGCCGTGCGATCTTCAGAGGCTTCTTTTTTTTTTTTTAAACTTTTAAAAGCATTTTTTTGGCCAGAAAAAAAAAAAATGCTTTTAAAAGTAAAAAAAAAAAAAGCCTCTGATGATCACATGGCTCAGCTGGGCATTGGGGGGGGGGCAGAGATTTTTGCTACCGGTTCTCCAAACGCCCTGCCGCCATTGCTACCGGATCCGGTCCAAACCGGGAGCATTTCACCCCTGCAATTCACCCAAATGATGGCTCCACCTCCCTTCCAGGATGTTAGACAAAAATGCCGACTGTCAGCTTTTCCTAAACATCCTTTGTGGAGTATAATAAACACGAATATTTCTCGGATTGCAGTTTGCCTCACTTGTATTTGTGTCCATTTGTGTTGTTCCTGTGATATTGCAGGATGTTCATGGCTTGTATGTGTGCGTGTGCGCTTCACCCTTGTTGCATTCTAACTTTTTGCTAATCCTTTCCTGGCTGCAGGGATTTTATGGACCCAACCATGGAAAACACCAGGCACATTTTAAATTATCTGATGCCCATCATAGACCAAGTGAATCCAGATCTCCACGATTTCATGCAAAGGTATTCTTAAGTTTTAGGATTTGTTTGTTTGTTTGTTTTTTTCAAGTTCAGGTAGTCCTCATTTTACAATCCTTTGTTTAGTGACTATTCAGAGTTAGAACGAGGCTGAAAACAGTGACTTATGAACAGTTTTCACACAACTGTTGTAGAATCCACCTGTTCACAAAATCAAAATTTGGGGTGCTCAGCAACTTAATATGTTATTTAAGACAGTTGCAGAATGTTAACACATCATTTTCATTGGGAGCCCTTCCCTTCCCTCTCCTTCCCCCTCCACCTACCCAGCTACCTCCCTCTCTCCTTCTTTCCTTACTTCCTTCCTTTCCTTCTTTCCTTCCGTCTGTCCCTTCCCTCCCCTCTTCCTTCCTTCCTTTTTCTTTTTCTTTCTCTTTCTTTCTTCCTCACTCTTTCCCTTCCTTTCCTTATTCCCTTCCTTCCTTTCCTTCCTTCCTTCTTCGCTTCCTTTCTTCCCTCCCTTCCCTTTTTCGTTTCTTCCTTCCTCCCTCCCTCCCTTTCCTTCCTTCCTTCCCTCCCTCCCTCTTTCCTTCCTTTCTTTCTCACTTTCCCTTCCCTTCCTTATTTCCTTCCTTCCTTTCCTTCCTTCCTTCTTTTCTTTCTTCCTCACTCTTTCCCTTCCCTTTCTTATTCCCTTCCTTCCTTCCTTTCCTTCCTCCTTTCCTTCCTTCCTTCCTCGCTTCCTTCCTTCCCTCCCTTCCCTCTTTTGTTTCTTCCTTCCTTCCTTTCCTTCCTCCCTCCCTTCCTCTCTCCCTCCCTCCCTTTCCTTCTTTCCTTCCCTCCCTCCTTCCTTCCTTTCTTTCTCACTCTTTCCCTTCCCTTCCTTATTTCCTTCCTTCCCTCCCCTCCCCCCTCCCTCCCTCCCTTCCTTCCTTGTCATACAATCACCATTTATAATCTTCCTAGCTGGGTTCTGACAAGCAAAGTCAATGGGAAAAGTCAGATTCGCTTAACGACTGTGTGATTCACTTAACTGCAAGTGATTTGCTTAATAACTGTGGCCAGAAAGGTCGTAAAACAGGGCAAAACTCACTTAAGGGCTGCCTCGCTTAGCCGTGGAAATTTTGCGCTCCATTGTGGTCATAATTCGAGGATCACTTGTAAGGAGGCATTTAATCTGTATCAATGGTAGCATTTTGAATTAAGCAAGAAGCTCCTATGACTCCTCATGGGAGTTCCCCCACTCAAGAATTTAACCCCAAAATTCTCTCAAAAACAGTCACTGTGAGAGGGACCTTGGAGTCCTAGTGGACAATCACTTAAACATGAGCCAGCCGTGTGCAGCAGCAGCCAAAAAGGCCAATGCAATCCTTGGTTGTATAAACAGAGGCATAGAATCAAAATCAGGTGAAGTATTAGCACCGCTTTGTAAAGCCTTAGTAAGGCCACACCTGGAATCCTGCATCCAGTTTTGGTCCCCACATTACCAAAAAAAAAGATGTTGAGACTTTGGAAAAAGTGCAGAGAAGAGCAACTAAGAGGATTAAAGGCCTGGAGGCTAAAACATAGGAAGAATGTCCCAAAGGTGCTTTTTTTTCAAGAGGCAACTGAACTTCCTTGTTTTTTGCCCCCCCCCCCCAAGCGGTGTTCTTTTTTATACAAAGTCAGCTTAGATAGATAGATGATGGATGGATAGATAGATAGATAGATAGATAGATAGATAGATAAATAGATGGATGCATGGAGATGGATGGATGGATGGATGATGGATGGAGCTAGATAGATGGAGGGATGGATGGATGGAGGGATGGATGGATGATGGATGGAGATAGATTTATTTATTTATTGGTTCGATTTATATGCCTCCCTTTTCCGGAGACTCAGGGTGGCTTACAATGCGTTAAGCAATAGCCTTCATACTTTTGTATATACCTGCTTAGTAGGGCTTTCGGGCCCCCCCACTAAACAGTGTTCTTTTTTATACAAAGTCAGCTTAGATAGATAGATGATGGATGTAGATAGATAGATAGATAGATGGATGGATGGATGGATGGATGGATGGATGGATGGATGGATGGATGGATGGATGAATGATGGATGGATGGAGATAGATGGATGGATGGATGATGGATGGAGATAGATTTATTTATAGATTGATTCGATTTATATGCCTCCCTTTTCGAAGACTCAGGGCGGCTTACAATGCATTAAGCAATAGCCTTCATACTTTTGTATATACCTGCTTAGTAGGGCTTTTGGCCCCCCCCCAAGCGGTGTTCTTTTTTTTTTATACAAAGTCAGCTTATTGCCCCCACAAACCGGGTCCTCATTTTACCTACCTCGGAAGGATGGAAGGCTGAGTCAACCTTGAATTAACCTGAGTCAATTAACCAGTGGAACTGCTTGCCACCAGAAGTTGTGGGCGCTCCATCATTGGAGGTTTTCAAGAAGAAATTGGACAACCGTTTGAAACGGTAGAGGGTCTCCTGCTTCAGCAGTGGGGTGGACTAGAAGATCTCCAAGGTCCCTTCCACGTCTATTCTGATTGGGGCAAAGCTGGGGGATCCATCTGGTACCTTCTTTTTGGGCTCCATTTGTGTTTTCCTTGAAGGAGAAGAATTTGTCTACACGCTGAAGAGAGGAAAATGGTCCGAACTATTTGCTGAGTGGATACAGATATTTAATATGTTTACATATTAAACGTTTTTTCCTCTTTTTTTTTTTTTTTTTTTTGCACAGAGCCGAGGTGGGGACCATCTTCGCCCTCAGCTGGCTGATCACCTGGTTTGGACACGTCCTGTCTGACTTCAAGCACGTGGTGCGGTTATACGACTTCTTCCTCGCCTGTCACCCGCTGATGCCCATCTACTTTGCGGCAGTGGTGGGTGTTTCCGCAGGGAACGCGGGGTGGGCCAATCATGGATGGGGGAAGGAAGAGGAGAGCCATTCTGAAGGGGACTCATGATGCTCTCCGGTCCTGTGACCCCCAGAGGGGCTAACCAGGAGCAGGAGCAACAACGTCATCTGACTCATGATTTCCCTTCTCTTTCCCCTGTCTTTCTCTCCTTCCTTCTCGCCTTTCCTTCCTCCCTCCTCATCAAGATCTCCCTTCCCTTCTCTTTCCAACTCCTCCACTTTCCTTCCTTCCCGCCCTCCCTCTTCCTCATCTTTCTCTCCTTCCTTCCCTCCTTCCTCAAGATCTCCCTTCCCTTTCCACTCAATCCCCTCCACCCTTCCCTCCTTCCCTTTCCTCCCTTTTTCCTGTTTTTTCCCTCCCTCCCTTTCTTCCCCCCCTTTCCTTTTTTGTTTCCTTCCTCCCTCCTTTTCTTCTCTCCTCCCCCTCCCTTTTCCTCCCTCCCTCTCCTTTTTCCTGTTTCCCTCCTTCCTTCCCTTTTCTCCCTCTTTTTCCTGTTTCCCTCCTTCCTTCCCTTTTCTCTCTCCTTTTTCCTGTTTCCCTCCTTCCTTTCCTTTTCTCTCTCCTTTTTCCTGTTTCCCTCCTTCCTTCCCTTTTCTCCCTCTCCTTTTTCCTGTTTCCCTTTCCTTCCCTTTTCTCCCTCTCTTTTTTCCTGTTTCCCTTTCCTTCCCTTTTCTCCCTCTCCTTTTTCCTGTTTCCCGCCTTCCTTCCCTCCTTCCCTCTCCTTTTTTTGTGTCCTTCCTCCTCCCTTCCTCCTCCGCCTTCCTCTTCTTCTCCATTACGCTTTCCTCCCTTCCGTTCTTTTTCCCTTCCCTTATAAGACACACCACTTCCAACTGGTTGGGGTGGTGTACAATTCTCCCCCACCCCTCTCCAAATCTAACTCAAGGGAAGAAAAGTTTGGAAAGGCTTCGGTGGGAGCCTTTGACCTCCTCGTCATCACAAAACCCGGAAGGGGGAAACGTCGTCGGCGCTGCCAGTCGGCCGAGCTGAGTTCTTCTTTTTGTTGCTTCCCTTTGCAGATCGTGCTCCATCGGGCCCCGGAGGTTCTGGCCTGCGACTGCGACATGGCTTCCGTCCACCACCTGCTGTCCCAGATCCCCCAGGACCTCCCTTACGAGATGCTCATCAGTCGGGCCGGGGACCTTTTCGTTCAGTTCCCGCCTTCGAAGCTCGCCCAGGAAGCTGCTCAGCAGCAAGCCGAGAGGTGAAGAGAGGCCTCCTTCCCTGGGGGGTTTCTTTGACCAGACGGGCTCCACCAGTGGTGGGATTTGAATAATTTAACAACCAGTTCGCTGCCCTAATGACTGGCTGGGTGGGCGTGGCCATGGTGGGCATGGCCAGGGGGTTTGACAGGCAGCACTTGGCCTCCTGCACCCCCCTGGGAGCAAAAATGGGCCGCGGGGGATGGGAAACGCTCCATCTCCCCCCTCTCCCCGTTTTGGGCCTAGGAGGCCTCCCTGCACTTACCTGGGAGCCAAAACGGGGCGCGTGGGGACTCCTGGAAGGGGCGGGGCCAGGAATTTAACAATCGGTCGCCCGAACTGGCTGAATCCTGCCACTGGGCTCCACGCCACCATCTTTGGTAAGACTTTTGTGGCATTCAGTTCCTGTATCTGTATTACTTGCCCTTGTAGAGTGCAGAGAGAGAGGAAGGGAGGGGGCTTTGACCTTCAAAGCAATCCGCCCATTTCTAGAAGGTTCTATACAGGAGCCATTCCAGAAGGATCAGGAGTGGCAAGACTCAAGCTTGGTTCAGGGTCCACCTTCAGTTCCTCAACTGTGCAAAAAAAATAAGGTTTAGTTTAGGCAGCGTGACTAGTATTATGAGATAAACCCAGGAGCCAAAACACAGCACACAGCACACACAGTCTCTAGATCAGTGGTCACCAACCGGTGATCCGTGGACCACTGGTGGTCTGCGAGAAAATTTTGGTGGTCCGCAGAAAAACTATTTGCATTTTTTAGATTGCACTAAATACTATTTATTTTTTTAAAAAATTCGTATTAGTGGTCCACGGGATTTAAAATTATGAATTTAGTGGGTCCCTGAGGTCCAAAAGGTTGGTGACCCCTGCTTTAGATAATTAACAGTGGTTTTATCTACAGCTAAATATATACCTTATCATACAGCTACCGTGTTTCCCCGAAAATAAGACCCTGTCTTATATTTTTTTGAACCCTGAAATAAGCGCTTGGCCTTGTTGCCATGCGCTCAAAAGCCCGATTGGGCTTATTATCAGGGGATGTCTTATTTGGGGGGAAACAGGGTAGATAGATAGATGATGGATGGAGAGAGAGAGAGAGAGACAGACAGACAGACAGACAGACAGACGTAGTTAGGTAGAGGTAGGTAGGTAGGTAGGTAGGTAGGTAGGTAGGTAGGTAGGTAGGTAGGTAGGTAGGTAGGTAGGTGGGTGGGTGGGTGGGTGGGTGGGTGGATGGATGGATGGATGGAAAGATACTGTGTTTCCCCGAAAATAAGGCCCTGTCTTATATTTTTTTGAAACCTGAAATAAGCGCTTGGCCTTGTTGCCATGCGCTCAAAAGCCCGATTGGGCTTATTATCAGGGGATGTCTTATTTGGGGGAAACAGGGTAGATAAGATAGATGATGGATGGAGAGAGAGAGAGAGAGAGACAGACAGACAGACAAACAGACTGACAGATGTAGTTAGGTAGGGGTAGGTAGGTAGGTAGGTAGGTGGATGGATGGATGGATGGATGGATGGATGGATGGATGGATGGATGGATGGATGGAAAGATACTGTGTTTCCCCGAAAATAAGGCCCTGTCTTATATTTTTTTGAAACCTGAAATAAGCGCTTGGCCTTGTTGCCATGCGCTCAAAAGCCCGATTGGGCTTATTATCAAGGGATGTCTTATTTGGGGGGAAACAGGGTAGGTAGGTAGGTAGAGAGACAGATAGACAGACAGACAGACACAGACAGACAGACAGACAGACGTAGTTAGGTAGAGGGAGGGAGGTAGGTAGGTAGGTAGGTAGGTAGGTAGGTAGGTAGGTGGATGGATGGATGGATGGATGGATGGATGGATGGATGGATGGAAAGATACTGTGTTTCCCCGAAAATAAGGCCCTGTCTTATATTTTTTTGAAACCTGAAATAAGCGCTTGGCCTTGTTGCCATGCGCTCAAAAGCCCGATTGGGCTTATTATCAAGGGATGTCTTATTTGGGGGGAAACAGGGTAGGTAGGTAGGTAGAGAGACAGATAGACAGACAGACAGACACAGACAGACAGACAGACAGACGTAGTTAGGTAGAGGGAGGGAGGTAGGTAGGTAGGTAGGTAGGTAGGTAGGTGGATGGATGGATGGATGGATGGATGGATGGATGGATGGATGGATGGAAAGATACTGTGTTTCCCCTAAAATAAGGCCCTGTCTTATATTTTTTTGAACCCTGAAATAAGCGCTTGGCCTTATTGCCATGCGCTCAAAAGCCCGATTGGGCTTATTATCAAGGGATGTCTTATTTTGGGGAAAACAGGGTACTGACACAGAGAGAGCAATGAGATACCGACAAGAGAGAACATGAGGAGGAGAAAACACCCTCTAATGGCTTCCCTTATATAGGCAGCTTCTGCCCAGCTTCTTAAAGTAGCAGTAACCCTGCTGCCTCATTCCTATTGCATCAGCTTACAGTTGCCTCCGCTTACAACCTTCCATCAGCTTACAGCTATTAAATCTACATAGCCTGACATAAGGAAAGAAAGAATTCCTGCCAGGAGAAAAGAGAGGAAGCAAAACTCCCTAATACAGGCGGTCCTCGACTTACGACCCCAGTGGAGCCCCAGCATTTCCGTTGCTAAGCAAGACAGTTGCTAAGTGAGTTTTGCCCCTTTTCCCAACCTTTCTTGCCTCAAGTGAATCACCACAGTTGTTAAATGAGCCACACGGTTGTTAAGTGGATCTGGCTTTTCCCATTGACTTTGCTTGTCAGGTCACAAAAAGGGCTCACGTGACCCCGGGACACTGCAACCATCATAAATGTCAGTCAGTTGCCAAGGGTCTGAACGTAAATCACATAACCCTGGGGATGCTACAATGGTCATAAGTGTGAAAACGGTCATAAGTGTGAAAACAGTCATAAGTCACTTTTTTCAGTGCCGTGGCAACTTCGGTCACTTAAAACAGTTGTAAGTCGAGGACTACCTGTATAGGCAGCTTCCAAAAAATAAAACATATAAAAAGAGAGTTTATCATGAATAGATGATCGCCAATGTCCATTTCTCCTTGGGAACAATTTTATTAATTTTCTTTTCATTCATCCCTAACTATAAAGAATCAGTTGGCGCAGTTGTATCACAATGGAGCCCAAAATTTCCGTTGCTGAGACATTTGTTAAGTGAATTCTGCTCCAATTTGCAACTTATCTTCCTTGCCACCGTTGTTAAGTGAATCGCCACGGTTGTCGAGTTATCAACCCCGTTATTAAGAGAATCCGGCTTCCTCCATTGACTTCGTCCGAAGGTCGCAAAAGGGGATTGCGTAACCCCCAGGCCGCTGCAACCGTTATAAATACGAATCAGTGGCCAGGCATCCGAATTTTGATCCCGTGATCACAGGGTTGCTGCAACGGTCGTATGTGTGAGACGCGGTCCTACTAAGTCCCTTTTTTCAGGTTTTAACATTTTTTATTGCGTTATAAAATATTATAAAATACAAAAAAAAATAGAAGAGCAGTGGGGAGGGAAAAGGAGACGAGCCCCCTTTTCAGTGCCGTTGTAACTTCGAATGCTCACTAACCGAACAGTTGTAAGTCGAGGACCAGCTGTATTTCACAACTGAAGTCCCTCCCCTCTTTTTTCTTCTCCCCCCTCCCCCTTGCAGAACGGCGGTTTCCACCTTCAAAGACTTTGAGCTGGCTTCATCCCAGCAACAGCCGGACACCATCCTCCGCCAGCGCTTCCGAGAACAACTCCGGGCGGAGGAAAGAGCCAAGTCCCTCTTAGCGACCAAACCCAGGACCAACCGCTTCGTCAAGCTGGCCGTGATGGGGCTGACGGTGGCGCTGGGGGCGGCCGCCGTGGCGGTGGTCAAGAGCGCCCTCGAATGGGCCCCCAAATTCGAACTCCAGATCTTCCCCTAAGGCTGAAGGACAGAAGGAACGTCCTTTCTCATCTCCTGCTCTCCGTGAGCTGAAAACCATCTCGGCGGAAGACAAGCCGAGTTCTGAGGCCAGCAGCCCTGAATCCGTTCCCTTCTGCAAAGCAACCTTCCGCCGTGAAGAGGGGACCGTTGCCTTGGGCTGCTACAGGCTGGGTGGTCTCAATTTCTGCTCGCTCTTCTGGCCAGCTAAGGGGCAACTCTTCTCCACGAAGACCCCCCTTCTGTCCTCCGGATGAACAGAGAAGTCTCAGTGCACCCGTTCGGGGGGAAAACAGTATTGTTCCTACGGTTTTATCCGAAGGAGAGACACCCGGCTTGGGGATCTTGAGAACTTGTCCAAGCAATTCTGGTTGCCTGTCTTAACCAAAAATGGAAGGAGATAGTTTCTTGGCGGTTGCCAACGGTAGGACTGGATTCTCGCTGGTTCCCGTTTCGATGTTTTGATATTCGATATTTCGTGTTAGCCGGAAAGGAAAACAGCAGGAAAAGAAGTCTTGTTAAACGCACAGAATAGATCAGCAATTTGGCAACTTTTGGTTTTAGACTTTGAAGAATTCTGGGAGTCGAAGTTCCACAAATCTTAAAAATGGCCGAGGTCGGACACCCTTCGAGTAGATCATCTTTGGACTTTCAAACTTGATCTGGTTGCCATCCGGAAAAAAAGATCAAAACCAGATCACCCTGTTTGAAGGGCGATACGCAGAAACCTTCCCCCGATGAAAAAAATTAGAACTTTTCCTTAACTGCATGACGAATTCTCAACAAGGAGGTTCACTTAATCCATAATCCACAATACCCCCCCCACACACACACACACACTACAGAAGCCTCTCTCACAAGTGTCCTTACCCAACTTTCGCTACCTTTGATGGACGAGTTTCTTGGCTATCTTGGAAGCGACCGAGCAGAAGATAAGAACCAAGCCCTCTCAATCCCCGAGCCAAGGACTGTTCGCTTTGACAACTTTGCATCGATCCAAGAGTAGGGCTGGGCATTGAGGTGGACAACCAATGAGTCCTGCCACGTTCTTCAGACTGAACTCAAGATGTCCTTCAGAAACCACAGCTTCCAGAAAATGTCAAGAGCCACCTCCTGGAAGCATCTAGACCAGGGGTCTCCAACCTTGGCAACTTTAAGATTTGTGGACTTCAACTTCAGCTTTGCTGGCTGAGGAACTCTGGAAGTTGAAGTCCACAAGTCTTAAAGTTGCCAAGGTTGGAGACCCCTGGTCTAGACTTCACCTCTGTGTATTTTTCTTTAAAAACAGTTGCATTGAATTCTCCTCTGTGCCAAGACATATGGCTTCTTCTGGAGGAGAAGCAACCCACTACACCCACAAGTTGTCCTTCTCACATGCTTATGGACCTTCTCTTCCAGACGAGCTCAGGGCTGGTGCCAGAAAGTCCGTGCCTTTTCTCCAAGGGGTTTGGATCGTGCTTTGCGCGTGGTTCCGAAGACCACTTTAACCCAAGAAGCTGGCTGGACTTCCAGCCTCTGCTTTTGCCTTGAAGTTGAAGTAGTCATTGAGATGTTTCTAGGGTTAGACGGACCGGGGGGGGGGTCACCCAACGTTTTTCGATAACGCGTTTTGGACTGTAACCATCCCTCTAAAGGCGGAGGGGAGCCCCCAACAATTTGGATCGAACACCCCGGTGTCGTATCATAAAAAGCAGGCATGGGGTGGTGCCATCCGAGCAGCAGTGACAAAACAGGAGAGGAAAAACCGCAGAGATGGCTAAGAAATTCCTAACCTCATTTTTTGTTTTTTAAAAAAAGCACTTTACAAAAATAATTTCTAAAAGAAAAGAACAGGCTTTTAATGGAGAATTAACTTAAGGCAGGAAAGTGTTCTCTCAATTTTTGGGGTGGGTTGTCTGATGTCTCTTTAGTTTAAGAGTTATTTTCTTCCACGTCTTCGGATCTGGCCTATTTAGCTGAGGAAAATTTGAGCCCTTAAACTTTTGATTTCTAACCACGGGAAATACGCAGTGCTCCGAAAGAGAAGTTCCGCTTCATCGTATTTCCTAAGAACCGTCCCGAGCACTTATTTATTTTATTCGTCCAGCAAAAAGTAGGAATTCAGACAAAGAAAATCAGAATGTGGCAAGGACGATAAAACACGACGGTGCACTGGCGCACACCCCCTTAGGGACCTCACAAACACAGAGCGAGGTCCTCGGTTCAGCGTCGGTCAGCAGAACCTTGATTTTTGACGGATTGTGTGAAGGCTCGAGTCTTTTCCTTCCTACCGACACCCGGAGTCCTATCCGAGTGAGAAAACAAGCATTATCGAGGAGCGAACAGGGAAAAACTAAATAGAAATAATTTGGAGTTTGCACTGCAGTCTAGAAAAATTAGCCTGGGATTTTGCTGGTTATTTGCACTTCTGTCGGAGAAGTAAGGACAGCCATCGCTGAGAAACGAGCCTGCCCCACCGGTAGGATTTACCGGGACTCCATTGCTGCTGGGAAGTTTCCTTACTGCTTCTCATAAATGAAGCAAGAGGTAGCCTTTGCCGTGAACGCCAACTGATGGCACCTTTCCACTTTCACACAATCCCAGGCAGCGGTGACCCTGAAATCCCCACAAAATTAATGTGCCCACCTGTCCAGAACATCTCACTCACCTGTTGCATCCCTTAACTTTCACCCTTCTGTGTGGGCAGACAGGTAACGGAGCCCAGAGGTTGAGTTCAGCGTAGAAAAACGTGGATTGCAACAGCCCTTCGGTCGTGCATCCTGGGCAGCGTGGCTCTTTTCTATACTCATGTACGTAATGTAACTTGTAGATTTGTACAGGGCTTGTAATTGTGTACATTAAATAAATGCGGTATTAACTTACTAAAGCCGTTTGCAAGGAGGATGCCGGAGCTCTTTAAATCAAGGGATTTTTTTTTTCTTTCTTTCCTTGCTCCGCGTGGCCTAAGCAGAGTGGGTCTACGACACCTCGCCACAGAGAGAGAAATTACACACTAATATCGAAGAAACGGTGGAATAGAATCATTCAAGGAAGGATGCCCAAGGAAGGGACAAAATGAAATGTGAACGAAAAGATTAAAATCATTTTAAAAATTAGTTTAAAGAATTAAAGCGCTCCATGGCTCAGGACCCGGGTACTTGCGGGACCGCCTACTACCACCAATAGCCTCCCACTGGCCAGTACGCTCCCATAGAGAGGGGCTCCTCCAGGTGCTGTCAGCCAAACAATGCCGACTGGCGGCCCCCAGGGGGAAGGCCTTCTCTGTGGGGGCACCTACTATCTGGAACGAGCTCCCCCGGAGATACGCAGGATCCCAGATCTGCGCACCTTCCGCCGCGCTTTAAAGACCTTATTATTTTACCAGGCGGGCCTGGCCTAATTTTCTCCCTCTTTTATAAAAGATTTTTAATTTTTAAATATCTTTTAGTATTTTATACATTCAATTTTAAAATTGGTTTTAAATAGTTTGCGGTTTTAAATTTGTCGGGGCCAAAATTATTTAATTTGATTTTATTCTACTTTTAAATTATGTATGTGTTTTATTGTTTGGCTGTGCACCGCCCTGAGTCCTTCAGGAGTAGGGCGGTATAGAAATCAAATTAAATAAATAAATAAATAAATTGAATTGTTGCATTGGCATGCGACGATTCAATGAAGAGAAGGACTAGGAGTGACATGATAGCAATCGTCCAATATTTGAGGGGCTGCCCCAAAGAAGAGGGAGTCAAGCTATTCTCCAAAGCCCCTGAAGGCAGGACAAGAAGCAATGGGTGGAAACGAATCAAGGAGAGAAGCAACCTAGAACTAAGGAGAAATTTCCTGACAGTGAGAACAATTAACCAGTGGAACTACTTGCCTCCAGAAGTTGTAAATGCTCCAATACTGGAAGTTTTTAAGAAGTGACTAACCATTTGTCTGAAGTGGTGTAGGGCAGCAATGGCGAACTTTTTCGACACCGAGTGCCAAAAAGAGAGCATGTGCTCATGTCTGGGCCGCAACCCAGAAGAGGAGCTGCCCAGGACGCATGTGCACACCTGAAAATGAACTTCCGGTTTCAGCTACTGAACTTCCGGTTTCAGCTACTGAGCTTCCGGTTTCAGCCAGCTACTCTTCCGGGTTTCTGGCGCGCATGTGCACCCAACAATCAGCTGGCCGGCGCACATGGTCACGCAGGAAAACGGAAGACCAGCCGTTCTAATTTCCGGCACTGCTGCATGCAAAAAGGCCAGCTGATCGTCGTGCGCACATGCGTGCCAGAAACCTGGAAGAACAGGCAATGCCATGCGTGCCAGGCGACATGGCTTCGGACATGCATGCCATAGGTTCGCCGTTACGAATATAGGGTTTCCTGCCCAAGCAGAGGGTTGGACTAGAAGACCTCCAAGGTCCCTTCACAAGTTGGCCATGGTAAGGTAAGCTGTGACAAATCAGCCGTGGCAAGTTGTCGCATTTCGAAGCAATATCTTCCATCTCAAGGCATCCTTGAAACCGGTCCAGCGCAGCTCAACCTGGGTTCAATGCGGTTGTGAGATTGAGCCATGGATGATCTCAGGAAAATAAAGGAAACTAGATAGTTTTGAGAATGGAAAGGCTGCAACGGAGCACTTTTAAATCTGTGTTACTCAATCGTGGCTACTTTCAGTTGAGGGGGGGGGCTTCAACTCCCAGAATTCCCCAGTCAGCATGGAGAATTGTGGGCCCGGCTATGGAATTCTGGGAGTTGAAGTCCACAAATCTTAAAAGTTGTCAAGTTTGAGAAACACTGCTGTAGATTATCTCTGGTTCGCCAGACTTCTCAAAACTATCTGACTGCAATCTCCCCATCATTTTGACACCACTTGTTATACCCAAAGGCGCTTTTTCAAGAGGCAGCTGGACTTCCTTTGTTTTTCCCTGAAGACATTTTGCTCCTCATCCAAGAAGCTTCTTCAGTTCTTCTTTACTTCTTCAGAACTGAAGAAGCTTCTTGAATGAGAAGCAAAACGTCTTCAGGGAAAAACAAAGGAAGTCCAGCTGCCTCTTGAAAAAGCGCCTTTGGGACAACCGGGACCCAGGTGACTTGAGAATCTCCACAGATACCATCTCATACAATTTCCAAGTAATAAATTCATAAAATGGTGCATTATTTTCAAAAAAAAAAAGAGAGATGAATTTTTAGCAATTCCACTGCTTTAATTCCTAGCCCTCCGCATGCGACGAAATCCTATCTCAGGAAAACATAACGTCCATCGCCTTGAGGATCCGTTCTGCAGGCTTTTCAACGTTTCCTGAAAAGATTCTGTGCTATTTTTATCTTAAATTTCAAAAACTAGATTTATTTGGGAGGTGGGGGGGGGATACAGGAGAGGTAACCCTCCCCCCTCAACAGCGAAGCTCCATCTGCTCCTGATTCGGCTTCAAATCACAGAAGTGACCGAAAGGAGCAATGAAAAGTCAGAGCATCCTTTGAGCAAAGCAAAAGTAAAAATGGAAGGCGCGCTAAGCAGCCCGCTCCGTAATGCCAATAAAAGGAGAATATTGTGGGTTCGTTTTGTAAATCAAAACCACAACTCAAAAGTCTGGTTTGAATGCAACGAGTGGCCAGCCTCCGGTAATGGAGATCCGAGCTTGAAAGATGGACCCAGTAATGTGTGTGTGTGTGCAGAAGGACGCGAGAACAATAAAACAGCCGTCGCTTTTTACGGAAAAGACGAAGCAGAACTTCTCGAGTGAAACCAATCAACAGGTCAAGTTCTCGGCACGACCAAGAGACGGGTGGAGGACGAAAAAAACGCCCCCTTCAACCAACCGCGACGTAGGAGAGCTCCTTGGCCCCGTCACCACCTCGGTTGCCGGAGGCGAGTTGTCCAAGACAGACGTGGTAGGAACTGGTCATGCCGCAGAAGGACTGTGCAATTGTCCAAACGTCCCCTCCAGCCGTCGTCCACAACGCCGACTTTCCTCTGCAGGCGAAAGGTCTGTCCGGAAAGTCCGATTTTCAGGAATCTCCTCCATCAATGGCAGTTCTGGCAATTCGGATGGCAGGCCACGCCATTCACTTTGCAACGGCAGCCCCCGCTGATGTCGCCCAAGCCCTGGAGGGAAAGAAGCACGGAGTGTGAAAAGGGGGGGGAGGCAAAATCGGCAAGGACGAGGGCCCCCCCCCTCAAAAATGGATAGGCAGGCAATCCTCGACTTATGACCCAAACCGAGGCTGTTCTTACAATCGTAAAGTTGTGGCTGTTAAAACTGCATCCAATTTCATCAATATTTGGTTTTTTGCAATGGTCGTTAAGCAAATGCAGCAGTCATTAAATGAGAGAGAGAGAGAGAGAGAGAGAGAGAGAGAGAGAGAGTGCAGTGGCCTAGAGGTGGAGCTCTCACCTCACAATCAGGCTGTGAGTTCGATCCTAGGTAGAGACAGATATTTCTCTCTCTGGGTACACTGAGAATATATCTGCTGAACAAAACTCCGCATTGGCAACAGGGAAAGGCATCCGGCCAGTAAACTCTCCATTCAGTTGCCCAGACTCCACCCCGGTAAGGGATTATGGAGTCATTAAAAGACAAAAATAAATAAAATTACACACACACACATACACACAAACTGTTTCTACCCTCCGTCAATACGTACAGCTGGTCCCCAGCGTGGCCCTTTGGTGACCCAGCAAATCTCCGTGTGGCAAACGGTGCACCGGATCCAGTCGCAGCCATCCTTCTTCTGCACGATGATCCTGCAGGTGGGGCAGTACATGGCCTCCCCGTCCTTCACCAGTCTCTGAAAAAGGGAGCAGAGCCCTTCACAACAACGTCCACAGCTTGTGCCCGCCTCTTCCTGATGGCACCGGGAGGGAGAGGAAAAGGTTTATGGAGAGCTAGTTTAGTCTAGTGCAGAGGTCTTCAAACTTGGCAGCTTTAAGACTGGTGGACTTCAACTCCCAGAATTCTCCAGCACAGCATAGCTGTGCTGGAGAATTCTGGGAGTTGAAGTCCACCAGTCTTAAAGCTGCCAAGTTTGAAGACCTCTCGTCTAGTGGCTGAGGCACTTGCCTAGAAACCAGGAGACGGTGAGTTCTAGTCCTGCCTTAGGCATGAAAGCCATCTGGGTGACTTTGGCGGCTTAGAGTGCGTTAAGCAATAGCCTTCATCCTTTTGTATATTTATACAAAGTCAGCTTATTGCCCCCATAATCTGGGTCCTCATTTTACCTACCTTAGAAAGGATGGAAGGCTGAGTCAACCTTGAGCCTTGGTGAGATTTGAACTCGCAGTAATTGCGGGCAGCAGATGTAAGTGGATGTTAATTAGTCTGCTGAGCCACCAGAGCTGCCTTGAGTTGTTTATAAAATGTAATAAACATGCGAGAGAAGAAATAATATACAGTATATGTAGAGAAAGATAGATGATAGAGATTAGTTAACTTGGTAGTGATAGAGATGATGAGATAGATAAATATAGATAATAGATAATATGTAGATATAGAAGAAATGTAGATGATAGATAGAGGTGGTAGGTAGGTAGGTAGGTAGGTGATAGATTAGATAGATAGATAGATAGATAGATAGATAGATAGATAGATAGATAGATAGATAGATAGATAGATAGATAGATGATGGATGTAGATGGATGGATGGATGGATAGATAGACAGACAGACAGATTATAGATATAAATGGATTGATAGAGGATGGAAGGATGGATGATAGGCTTAGGATCCACAGACAGGGAGACAGATACTGGAGGAAAAGGCCTTTTTCTACATTAGATTTACGGTTATACAGTATCTACCCAACCCACCAGAGCAGGCAGGCAGGGGATGCTACAGGTCCCCCACTCTGCTAAGGAGGTCCATCTAGTGCAGGGCTCTCCAATCTTGGCAACTTTTAAGATTTGTGAACTTCCAACTCCCAGAATTCCTCATCCAGCAAAGCTCAGAGTTGAAGCCCACAAGTCTTAAAAGTCGCCAAGATTGGAGACCCCTGATCTAGTGGGACCAAGAAGGATGGCCTTCTCCGTGGTGGCTCCCAACCCTGTGGAACATCATCCCTGCGGAAATAAAATCCCCCCCTCCCTCACCTCGACGCTCTTTCAAAAGGCCCCCCAAGACCTGGTTTTGCCAGTGGTTCCGGGAACCCCAGCGGGATACGGACTCCATCAAGCGGTTGGTTTGATTTCTCGTCACCAGCATGAGTTTGGCGTTTATTACGGGGGGGGGGTATTTCTTAAGCCGCCCGGAGTTGCCATGAGTTGGGCGCCCCTATAAACGTTCTTATTTTTGTAATCAAACGGTGCCCTGCCGTTCTCACCAGCAACACCTCCGTGGTCTGTTGTGCAGCGTGGTCATTCAGCGCTCGCGCCTGCAGATCGTCCTGGTATTGCTTGCAGTTCATGTTTTCGTGAATAGCCTGCGGAGAAAAACATGGCTTGGACCCAGATTTCATCATCCAGTGTTCTGACCCAGCTCCCCAAACACGACAAACCCTCTAAAGGGAACTCGGAGATTCCTTTTTGCCCCAACAAAATCGTTCTCTCTCAACACAGGCTAACAAGTCCATGAATATTTGTCTGTCATGTCTATACATCTCCGCCTGCTGCCTTTTATCCCCAGAGCTAAGGTGGGGCTTCTCTAGCAGCGGTGGCTCTTCCGTCCCAAGGACCGGCCCATAGATTTCCACTGCTCTCCTCTCCTCTGCCTTCTGCTCTTCCGCCCGTCAGGCACTGGACCCAGCTGTTCCTCCTCCTCCTCATCGGTCACCTCCAGACTTGGGGGCTGTTGACTCTCCATCTGAGGACTGACGGACGGAACAGGTTCCATCTCTGTCTCTCTCTCTCTGCCAGCTCTATTCCCTCTTCCCCCTCGGAGCTCCCAGGTTGCCTTGATGCCAGAGTGGATTTGATTTAAATCGAGTTGATTTAAATCACAATTTAAATCATGATTTAAATCCCTAGTAAAAAGGCTTGATTTAAATCAACTCGATTTAAATCGTAATTTTTAAAGAGCAACTGTCATCTCTGCTACTCCTTTGACCCGCGGTTGACTCACCGATAGTCCCAGTGTTGCAGAATATACAGCCTCGTGCTACATAACTAAGCTCCGTTTCATGCGGAATCAACTAAATTATTTATGTATCTTAAATAGAAAACTATCTTACGATAGATTTTTACCCCAAAAGTTTTTTATTAAAATAAATTCGATAAAAATAAAAAAAAATCCGATTTAAATAAAAAAAATCCGATTTAAATAAAAAAAATCCGATTTAAATAAAAAAAATCTGATTTTTTTGATTTTTTTTAAAAAAATCATTTTTATCCACGCTGCTTGATGCTGACCCTGACTCCGACACCACCACCTCCTCCTCCTCCTCCTCTGATTTGGCTACTGGAGGGTCCGGCGGCCGATAGGCCACAACAGCCAGCTTGAATAGACCTTCCCTTACACACCGCCCTGCCAGTAATTCAGCGGTTCCAACCTTTCTGGCAACGTGGACCGGTTCTGTGGAAGACAATCGTTTCACAGGACTGGTGGGGGGGGCCTCCCAGTTTCACACACAACTTAGATCTCACACATGCGCAGATAAATCGTCGCTCGACCGTCCGCCACTTGTGTAGATCGGTTCCTAACAGGCCGCGGATCGGTACTGATCCATCCCCGCAGAAGTCGGGGACCCCTGTCTTGGGGCACTGATTCCCAGATTAAGAGTGGACAGAAAGATAGGAATCCTATGTTGCCCAAGCATCCCACAAGGAGAACTTTTCCATCTACAGAAGAATCAGGGCTGAGATTTTATTTTTATTTATTTATTTATTTATTTATTGGTTCGATTTATATGCCGCCCTTCTCCGGAGACTCAGGGCGGCTTACAATGCGTTAAGCAATAGCCTTCATACTTTTGTATATACCTGCTTAGTAGGGCTTTCGGGCCCCCCTAAGCGGTGTTCTTTTTTATACAAAGTCAGCTTATTGAGTCTTGTACGCCAGTTGTGCCCTTTTCTAGACCGGGATGCCCTCGCCACGGTCACCCATGCCCTCGTTACCTCTAGGTTGGACTACTGTAACACCCTCTACATGGGGCTGCCCTTGGGATGCGCCCAGAGGCTCCAGCTAGTCCAGAACGCAGCCGCGCGGGTAGTTACGGGGGCGTCTAGATACTCCCATGTAACATCTCTCCTGCGTGAGCTGCACTGGCTGCCGGTGGCGCTCTGGATACATTTCAAGGTGTTGATGCTCACCTATAAAGCCCTTCATGGCTTAGGCCCGGGGTACTTGCAGGACCATCTCCAGCCGCTCTCCCACCGTCCCGTGCGCTCTCACAGAGTCGGCCTCCTCAGGGTGCCGTCGGCCAAACAATGTCGGCTGACGGCCCCCAGGAGGAGAAGCGTTCTCTGTGGGAGCTCTGACCCTCTGGAATGGATTGCCCACCGAGCTCAGGACAGTCCCCGACCTCCTTTCCTTCCATCGCAAGCTGAAGACGTGGCTCTTTCGTCAACTCAGCTGATCCGTTTGGGGGTACACTGTCATAATTTTAAACTGTTTTTAATAGGTCGCTGATTTTAATTTTATTTCATTGTGATTTGTATTGGCATTTGTCATTTTGTAAGCCGCCTCGAGTCCCCAGGGAGAAAGGCGGCATATAAAGCGCAATAATAAATAATAAATAAATAAATAAATATTGCCCCCACAATCCGGGTCCTCATTTTACCTACCTCGGAAGGATGGAAGGCTGAGTCAACCTTGAGCCTGGTGAGATTCGAACTCACAGTAATTGCAGGCAGCTGGTGCTATTTAGCAGCACGTTAGTCTGCTGCGCCACCAAGGCTCCAACAGGAAGTGGTGTTACCCCCACATTTTCCATATAGAACAGGGGTCCACAACCCCACAGGCCGAGGCCCACTAGCCATTTAGAACCGGGCCGAAGCAGGAGTGGGTGAGTGCGCACATATGCGCCTCCTCACTTATGTGGGCAGCACATAGCAAGCACGTCCATGTATGCACCATCGCTTGCCCAAATGGAGCAGTGCGCACACGCATTTCTGGCCGTTCACATGGAACCTTCCCCTCTCCCCACCTCCGCCGGTCTGCAAAGTTAGAAAGATTGGGAAACTCTTGAGATAGAACATAGAATAATAGGGTTGGGAGGGACCTTGGAGGTCTTCTAGTCCAACCCCTTGCTCAAGGCAGGAGACTCTCTACCATTTCAGACAACTGGCGGTCCAATCTCTAATGAAAACCTCCAGTGATGGAGCACACCCACGCACCATGAGCCACGGTGGCGCAGTGGTTAGAGTGCAGTACTGCAGGCTACTTCTGCTGACTGCAATTTGGCAGTTCAAATCTCACCAGGCTCAAGGTCGACTCAGCCTTCCATCCTTCGGAGGTGGGTAAAATCAGGACCCCAGATTGTTGGGGGCAAATATGCTGACTCTGTACACCGCTTAGAGAAGGTTCTAAAGCACTGTATGTCAGCACTTCAAGCTGCATTTACTCTAGTGCTGACATAAGAAGGAGAAGCGGAGGCATCTGGAAAGGGACGTTTGACTTTTCACCTACTTATTTTCCCTGGAGATAATATCCCCTAGGAGATGGGATGGGAGGGGGGAAATTCCTTTGAGCTGGAGCAGTAGATTAGGGGTAGAATGACTTGGAAGATGGCCAATGAGTGCAGAGGAGTGGGGAATGGAAAGGGAGGGTTTTGGGGCTGGAAGTCAGTGTTGGCTTCGATTGTAGTCGGGTTTAGAATGCCGTGCTTAATAAATAGGAGTTTTTCTTCAAAGACTTTGTTTGAAATGCAATTTATTTGAGACGACCTCGAAACTTGACACTGTAAAGCAGTATAGAAGTGTAGCATAGAAGTGTTATTGCTATTCTGGTGGCAAGCAGTTCCCCTGGATAATTGTTCTCACTGTTAGGAAGTTTCTCTTTAGTTCTAGGTTGTATATTTTCTTATTTAGTTTCCATCCGTTGCTTCTTGTCCTACCTTCTGGTGCTTTGGAGAATAGGTTGATCTTCTCTTCTCTGTGGCAGCCCCTCAATTATTGGAAGATGCTATCATGCCATCTCCTAGTCCTTCTTTTCATTGAACTAGACATGCCCAGTTCCAGCAACTGTTCATCGTATGTTTTAGCCTCCAGCCCCCTAATCATCTTAGTTGCCCTTTTCTGCACTTCTTCTAGAGTCTCAACATTAGAAAGAGCCTTGGTAGCGCAGCAGACTAAAGCACTGTTAAGTAACACCAGCTGCCTGCAATTACTGCAAGTTCAAATCTCACCAGGCTCAAGGTTGACTCAGCCTTCCATCCTTTCGAGGTAGGTAAAATGAGGACCCGGACTGTGGGGGCAATAAGATGACTTTGTATAAAAAAGAACACCGTTTAGGGGGGTGAAAACCCTACTAAGCAGGTATATACAAAAGGATGAAGGCTATTGCTTAACGCATTGTAAGCCGCCCTGAGTCTCTGGAAAAGGGCGGCATATAAATCGAACTAATAAATAAACAATAAACAAACATCTTTTTTATAGTGTGGGGACCAAAACTGGATGCAGTACTCTAGGTGTGGTCTTACTAAGGCTTTATAGAGTGGTATTATAAGTGATATTATTAACTTTATAGAGTGGTATTATATTTATAGAGTGGTATTAGTACCACTGAGTGGTGGCTCAGTGGCTAAGATGCTGAGCTTGTCGATCGAAAGGTCAGCAGTTCAGCGGTTCGAATCCCTGGTGCCGCGTAACGGGGTGAGCTCCCGTGACTTGTCCCAGCTTCTGCCAACCTAGCAGTTCGAAAGCACGTAAAAAAAAAATGCAAGTAGAAAAATAGGTACCACCTTTGGTGGGTAGGGAACAGCGTTCCGTGCGCCTTTGGCGTTTAGATGAGCACCGCCCCCTAGAGTCGGGAACGACTAGCACATGTGTTTATCTTTATTAGTACCTCACTATTAATGCATTTTAGGATTGCATAGGCCTTTTTGGCAGCTGCTGCACACTGCTGGCTCCTATTTAATTGATCATCCACTTGGGACTCCAAGATCCCTCTCACATGTTACTACTATTGTGCCAAGTTTCACCTAATCTGTCCCTATGCATTTGGGTTTTTTTGCCTAAGTGTAAAGCCTTACTAACTCAAACGGTCCTTCTACACAAGTTTGGCGTGGTGTCCACTCCAAAGATGGGACACGGCTTACCTGACACAACAGGCAGTTCGGTTTTTGACACACCGGGCAGTAGAACTCGTTCACGTCGTCTTCGTAAAAACACCAACCTCGGCAGTCCGTCGTTTTGCAGTGGAAACTCGACCGGCTGCGATTCTCAGCGATGGACATCCCCAAGTCCAGAAAATGCTGATATTCTTCCTCTGTTAGTAGCTACGGGCAAAACGGAGAAGATTTTAGAGAAGATCTTTAGGGCAGCAGGGACCAGTTCCATGGGGAAAGGTGGTGCTGGAAACCACAGCTCTTCTATTCTGGGGCAGCAGTGAAGAATGTTAGGCTAGAAATGGGGATGAAACACTGTGTCATGCCCCCTTCGAGTCTGAATCCGAGGGGAAAGACGAACAATTGACAGAGAGTGAGAGAGTGGCTCCATTGGCCGTGGAGGAAACTGGGGAAGGGCAAAACCAGGCTGGGCAGAGCAGGGGAGAGGTAGAACATGGGAGAGGGGGTTCAGATGAAGACCAAGGCCCACCCCCTCCTCATCCTAAATCACGCAGGGAAGAATGGAGAAGAGAGCAACGTGGGTTGCGTGGCTTACGAGGGAGGGAAGGGCCCCCGATTCCCTTCACAAGGCACACCTGGGGATGGAGTTTAAAGGAGAGGCAAATGGGAGGGGCGGTTGTTGGGAACAAACACTGAGTTCATCTCGTGTTAACTGCTTTATCGGAGTTCCTGGCATCCTCCCAACTGGTTTGATTTACTGCCGTGCTACTTCACTTCTGGAGCTCCTTATCTTGCTTGCCCTGCCAGATTAATTACCTTATTTTGCCTTGTTGGATTTATAGTTGGAAGTTTTCTGCTTATAACATTTGGACTGGAGTATTTTCAGCCAAAGGCAGTTACAGGTTTGTGGGAGAGTTTTTCTCCAGACCGGAGAAAAACCATTGGGGGCAAAGTTGGAGCTAATAAAGGGACATACTTATTCTCTGGCTGTGTTATTTATTTATTTATTTATTTATTTCTTTATTTATTTATTTATTTATTTATTATTTAAATTTCTATATTGCCCTACTCCCGAAGGACTCAGGGCGGTGAACAGCCAGAAGATAAAACACATAAATACAAAAATTTAAAATAGACTAAAAGCGAAATAATTTGGCTGAATTTAAAATACCCCATAATTTAAAAACAAATTAAAATTTACATTTAAAAAGGGGAGAGGATTTAGGCCAGGCCAGCTTGATGAAATAAAAGAGTCTTAAGCGCGCGACGGAAAGTGCGTAGATCCGGGATCCTCCGTATCTCCGGGGGGAGCTCGTTCCAGATCGTAGGTGCCCCCACAGAGAAGGCCCTCCCACTGGGGGCCACCAGTCGACATTGTTTGGCCAACGACATCCGGAGGAGCCCCTCTCTATGGGAGTGTACTGGCCGGTGGGAGGCTGTTTGTGGTAGCAGGCGGTCCCATAGATAACCAGGTCCTAAGTCATGGAGCGCTTTAAAGGTGATAACCAGGACCTTGAAGCGCACTCGGAAGACCACCGGGAGCCAGTGCAGCTCGCGCAGGAGAGGTGTTACATGGGAGCACCACGTCACTCCCATAACCACCCGCGCGGCCGCACTCTGCGCCAGTTGGAGCCTCCGGGTGCTCCTCAAGGGGAGCCCCATGTAGAGAGCATTGCAGACTAATGCTGCAATTAATTACCTTATTTTGCCTTGTTGGATTTATAGTTGGAAGTTTTCTGCTTGTAACACTTGGACTGGAGTATTTTCAGCCAAAAGCTGTTACAGGTTCGTGGGAGAGTTTTTCTCCAGACCGGAGAGTAAAAGGGGACGTTGGGGGCAAAGTTGGAGCTAATAAAGGGACTCATACTTATTCTCTGGCTGTGTTGCCTTTGTGCCATGCCTCAGGTCATCACACACTGGTTTTGAGGTCCATCCTGATACCCACCCCTTTGATCTCGCGGTCCAGCAGCTGCGAGGGACAGGAGTAGTTGTCATCAATGTAGGGGCACTTGACTTCCGGTTCTGGGCTGTTGAGGATGGTCCCCCTCAAGCAATCCCTGAAGATAGGCAAGGAGGAAGCACAGAACCGATTATCCTCACATTGAACCACTCCTAGAACTTCCACAGAACTCTGATGTGGCCACGATGAACTCTGCACCCTTGGACACTTATAGAAGAGAATATTCGTAGCTGAGCGTTGAACTCTGGGGTCCCTGGTGCTCTCCGAGCTTGATGCTAGCACTGATGATGTTACCTAGATTGATAATGAGACATCTACAAGAAAACAATGAATGAACAACTCAGAGAACCCCAAGGACCCTATAGTCTCCTCCCCCTCCTCCTCTTCCTCCAAACCCCACTTCCCTTCCACTACTAATTATGTTACCTAGCTGGGCCATGAGAGGTCTGCAAGAAAACAACCAAGCTCAGAGAGTGCCAAGGACCCCACAATTGCCTTCTCCTCCTCCTCCTCCTCTCCACACATCCCAACCCTTCTAGTACTGATGGTGTTAGCTAGCTGGGCCATGAGAGGTCTGCAAGAAAACAAGCTCAGAGAGTGCCAAGGACCCCACAATTGTCTCCTCTTCCTCCTCCTCCTCCTCCTTTCCACAAATCCCACACCCTTCTAGTACTGATGGTGTTAGCTAGCTGGGTCATGAGAGGTCTGCAAGAAAACAACCAAGCTCAGAGAGCACCAAGGACCTCACAATTGTCTCCTCCACCTCCACTTTGCAAACCCCCCTCCCTTCCAGCACTGATATCACCTAATTTGATAATGAAACATCTGCCAGAAAATCACCAAGTTCAAAGAGCATCAAGGATCTCAGGCTGGGCCACCTCCTGGCCACCGAAAGCTCTAAACTTAATTTCAATTTCAGAATGGTGTCCCTATGATTTCAGTCTCAATTTTGTCCCCCAATTCCGTGCTCCTCAAAAGAACTGTGGATCCCCAGAATTCACCTTTCAGCCTTTCCTATATATACCCCATTTTACTATGCTTGCATAAGACCTCCTGCCTTCCTTGGCAATCCATTGGATTCTTTCTTAGTTTTTGATCTGCGTCCTTGGATGATTTCAAATGCATCTCCCAGTTTAGGTATCATTCGAGATAAACTTAAGAACAGAGCTAGGAACTAGCAGTTCCAGTTACATAAACCCATTTTAGATGTCTCCTAAGACCATCAAGAAATCTCTTAAGTGGGAACTACCAGTTCCCACACTAGGAAGACCATACATACAGTAAATCCATCTTAGCTGTCTCCTAAGACCACCAAGAGATCACCATAGTAGGAACTAGCAGTTCCTATGCTAGGGAGACCAGTTACATAGACTCATCTTAGATGACTCCTAAGACCATCAAGAGATCAGCAAGGTAGGGACTAGCAATTCACATACTAGGATGACCAGTTATATAAACCCATCTTTGATATCTCCTAAAACCATCAAAGATTACCAAGGTAGGAACTAGCAGTTCTTGTGCTAAGGAGACCAGTTACATAGACTCATCTTAGATGACTCCTAAGACCATCAAGAGGTCACCAAGGTAGGAACTAGCAATTCTCAAACGAGGATGACCAGTTACATACACCCATCTTTGATGTCCCCTAAGATCATCAAGAGATCACCGAAGTAAGGTGTTCCCATTCTAGGGAGACCACTTATGCAAACCCATCTTAGATGTCTCCTAAGACCATCAAGATACCACTGAAGTAGGAACTAGCAATTCGCATCCTAGGATGACCATTCTACAAAGCCATCTTAGATGTCTCCTAAGACCATCAAGGAATCTCTTAAGTAGGAACTACCAGTTCCCACATTAGGAAGACCATACATACAGTAAATCCATCTTAGCTGTCTCCTAAGACCACCAAGAGATCATCATAGTAGGAACTAGAAGTCCCTATGCTAGGGAGACCAGTTACATAGACTCATCTTAGATGACTCCTAAAACCATCAAGAGATCAGCAAGGTAGGGACTAGCAATTCACACACTGGGATGACCAGTTATATAAACCCATCTTTGATATCTCCTAAAACCATCAAAGATTACCAAGGTAGGAACTAGCAGTTCTTGTGCTAAGGAGACCAGTTACATAGACTCATCTTAGATGACTCCTAAGACCATCAAGAGGTCACCAAGGTAGGAACTAGCAATTCTCAAACGAGGATGACCAGTTACATACACCCAACTTTGATGTCCCCTAAGATCATCAAGAGATCACCGAAGTAAGGTGTTCCCATTCTAGGGAGACCAGTTATGCAAACCCATCTTAGATGTCTCCTAAGACCATCAAGAGATCAGCAAGGTAGGGACTAGCAATTCACATACTAGGATGACCAGTTATATAAACCCATCTTTGATGTCCCCTAAGATCATCAAGAGATCACCGAAGTAAGGTGTTCCCATTCTAGGGAGACCACTTATGCAAACCCATCTTAGATGTCTCCTAAGACCATCAAGATACCACTGAAGTAGGAACTAGCAATTCGCATCCTAGGATGACCATTCTACAAAGCCATCTTAGATGTCTCCTAAGACCATCAAGAAATCTCTTAAGTAGGAACTACCAGTTCCCACACTAGGAAGACCATACATACAGTAAATCCATTTTAGCTGTCTCCTAAGACCACCAAGAGATCATCATAGTAGGAACTAGAAGTCCCTATGCTAGGGAGACCAGTTATATAGACTCATCTTAGATGACTCCTAAGACCATCAAGAGATCAGCAAGGTAGGGACTAGCAATTTACACACTAGGATGACCAGTTATATAAACCCATCTTTGATGTCTCCTAAGACCATCAAAGATTACCAAGGTAGGAACTAGCAGTTCTCATGCTAAGTAGACCAGTTACATAGACTCATCTTAGATGACTCCTAAGACCATCAAGAGGTCACCAAGGTAGGAACTAGCAATTCTCAAACGAGATGACCAGTTATATACACCCATTTTAGATGTCTCCTAAGACCATCAAAGATTACCAAGGTAGGAAAGATCAGTTCTCATGCTAGGGAGACCAGTTATGTAAACCTATCTTAGATGTCTCCTAAGACCATCAAGAGATCAGCAAGGTAGGGACTAGCAATTCACATACTAGGATGACCAGTTATATAAACCCATCTTTGATGTCCCCTAAGATCATCAAGAGATCACTGAAGTTAAGAACTAGGTGTTCCCATTCTAGGGAGACCAGTTATGCAAACCCATCTTAGATGTCTCCTAAGACCATCAAGATACCACTGAAGTAGGAACTAGCAA